TTATACCCCAATAAAAAAAAATGAAAAAATGCCATGTTTAGTATAATGCTTTTTTTTATTGATATTTAATGTTGAATTTGATGAAATTCAATGAGATGAATAGAAATGTTTAGGATATTATGACTATATATATGAATGTATGCTAGAAAGCTTTATGTATCTTCATGATAGTACATAATTTAGGTAGAAAAACCGACTTTGAAAGAAAATAAAACCTTTAGAAACTAGGCTCTAAGCACGATTTAAATAAACGAGATTTTTTAATTTTTAATTGAGAAAGACATCCGAAAAAGCATTCCATTGGAAAAATTTGGCCTAAGTAATTAAAAATTATACTTCAATATTTAAGTTGCTTAGTAATTAGAAGCATTCATCACAAATATTTACTTTTATGTCAAACAATAATTCAAATTATGAGTCTATATGTAACACCTTATACCTATTAAAAACGTTACTTAATAAATTTAAGGATATTGAAAGCATGTGAAAAAAGTTTAGAGGGCATGGAATAATTCACAAAGGGTTGAAAGAACATTCAAAGTAGTTAAAAATGGTCTTCATATGCTTAATATATATTTTATTGATTTTACTATGCATGAATAGTGACCTTTTGTATGAAATAATTATTTTAGGCTTGTTGTATGTGCATAAAAATGTTTTGTTTACATAGAATATTTGTTAGAGGGGTGTTAGATAATTTGATGCTATTGGATGAATTTTCCGATAGCAAGTGAATATTTTATTTGAGCTTTACTATACATGAATAGTATTTTTGAGGTAAGTTAATTATTTAAGTGCTTTCAAGGTGTGAGGAATTTTTTTTTTTTTTTTTTTTTGTGAACATAGAAAAATCATGGTGGATGTGAAGGAATATTTCATGAATCTAGATAAATTTTTTGTTGTATAGGGAATAATTTTTTTTTTTTAGAGAAAAATGTGTATTTTTGTACAAAATAATTAATTTGGAGGCCTAAATAAGGGTATAAAAATTAAGTGATTGATGATTAAATTCTTTTAGGAAGTTTTTAAATTTATTATGAAAATAAATTGAATTTTGGAAAGGTATGAATAAAATTATAGAATTAGGGACCTAATTGCATAAAATTAGAGACTTAATTGCATAAAATTAAAAGTTTGAACTTTCAAATTAAATTAGCTATGAATTTTAGGAGTTAAAAAGTTGTTAAGAAATATTTAAAGGAAGTACCTAGTGTAATCTATTGAAAAAAGGGACATATGAAAGAGTAATTAAAGGAAAGATTAGCAAGTTTATGGACTAAAGTTAAGTAATTTTTAGGAGAAATTTCTACCCCTTTAGGCGACTTCCGAGTAGCATGTTTGGGGTTAATTAATGAACTTGACTAAGTTAAAAAGGAGGGGGTTAGAATTAGGCAAGATGGAGGGCTAAGATTTAATGACCAAGATTTATCTAATTGAAAGGCTATGGTTTAAAGATGATTTAAGGACTAAGATCACACCAAATTTTAGCAAACCAAGGGCGAGAGATGAGGTCAAAGGTCCACCAAAATGTTTCTATAAATATGGGTTCAAAATAAATAAATAAAGAAAATGTAAGAAAAATAGAAAAATATAAAGGAAACTCTTGCAAATGTTTCTTAGGAATTTCCACCCACAAACTCATCTAATCATCTCTAAACACTCTAAACTAGCTAATTAAACTAGAAAATCAAGCTAGAAGATCAAAACTTATCAAGCGAAAAATATTGAGATTGGGCTAGATTGTGTGGAAAAGAGGAAAGAAGAAATTCTTCAAATAATTCAACTTTTCAAGGACAATTTGGAGCTTAATTGAGTAAGTTAATCTCATCTATATCACAAGAAATATTTAATTGATGCTAATTGATGTTTTGGATGCTTTAATTTGTGATTGTTAGCCTTAATTTTGAAAATTAAGGTTATGGTTCTTGATGAGGAAAAGCTGAAGAAAATGAAATTAAGTTAAAAATTCATGAAATTAATACTGGCACATGTCAATTAAGCTTGAAATTGAGGTTTAAAAATAAAAAATTTCTAGGGTTAGGAAGAGGAAATCTTTCGACCCAAAATAGGAAAGTAGGGTTTTGTAGTCCTTTGGTTTAATGGATGTTTTAAGGCTTGATTATGTTTTAATTAGGTGTGAATTGATGTTTGAGAATGAAAATTTGCATTAAAATTGAAGAAATTTCATTACATTGCTTAGGAAAGTATTCGGCCCAAATTCCCAATTTTTAAGGTTTTGATTCTTTCATTTAATTCATGAATTATCGATTAATTAGGAGCTGAAAAATTATGATTTGGTAAGTGAAAGTGAAAAATTCCATGAAAATTAAAGAATTTTACATAATTTAGTTTAGGCCTAATTAGGGTTTATGTATGTATTTAACCTATGAATGTCATGTTAATTGTAATTGAATAACTTAGTCTTAAAAATTGATGATGAAATTAGAAGAAAATAATGAGGTTAATGCAAGGGTGAGTTTTAACCAAGGTTTGGAATTTAGGGTTTATGATTTGGCTTATGTAACTTAATTGGAAGTGAGTTCTTTTAATGTAAATTGATGTGTGTGATATGTTCATGATGTATGGAAGTTTTGATTTGATGATTATGAAAGTGTCTTTGCTTTGTAATTTGTGATGGTGAATGGTTTGGATTAGTTGAAAGGTTGGATTGTTTGGAATGGTTTGGAATGATTTTATTAAGGTAATGTTTATGGTGCATTTTATGTTGTTAAATTATGTGCTATCATGACATAAATGCATCTCTCACACAACATGCATTTTATGAAAAAATAATAGTTATGCATTTTCAATAAAATGCATAAGCATGCCCAATGTTATGAAAATGATTTAAAGTCATGAAAAATATGTTTTTATGTCATGATTTTTCAATAGCAATTGAAAATATTTATGGAATGTGATTTTCATGACTTTGAGGACTTTTATGAGGAGGAGTTCTTAGGTTATCCATACTTTTATGACAAATAGTTCGGGGTCGAGCAAGTGTAGACGTGCACTTTTAAAGGCTCGATAGGGCACGCTTGCAAATGGATCTCGGTTTGTCAAACATATTATGGAAACCCTAAAGTACCTATGATGGAACATATCCAAAGATAGAAAAGAATTTTTAGCCTAATTATGATAAGGATTTTATAACATGAAAAAGGATTTGATACTAGCATGTAAATGATTTTCACATGCATTTTCACTTACATGCATAGCATGCATAGATTAATTTACTAAGCTATCACTCACTTATTTATTTTATGGAGTACCTAACATAGGTAAAGATGGTGATGTTCACATTTGAATTGACTACGGAAGGGATCATGCAATTGGTGTATATTGGATGTGGTTGGAAAATGGATCTCATTCACACCTTAGTTGTTATAATACTTAGTATACTAGTTTAGTTTTTAGTTATGGCTTCAGTTTTCTACATGATAGTTAAAGCCATGAAACGAGTGCATGGCTAGTTAGGAAGAAATGAATGTAGATAGATCATAAGCCATTTTTGTAGTATTTGGCATTGAATCGATTTTTGTATGTTAAGGGTAGTTTGTATGTGAACGAAATATCAATAGTAAAATAGTAGCATAATTATAGTTAGTATAGTTTTCTTTAAGTTATTCATTTCCATGGTAGTGTCAAAGTGAAATAAGAAAATGAAACTAGATAGACAATAATTGAAATAAATGATAATTAATAGAAGGAAAAGTAATTAATTACCGAGTAATGGGTCATAAATAAATGAATTTATATAAGTTAATAGAAAAAGAATTTGAAAAATCGAGTGTCACGGATCTAATTATTTCGAGTCCAAATAATTTAAATAAAATAATAAAACATAAAAATTTTATAATGCACTTTGAACTAAAATGTAGGACATAATCATCATTTATTAGGTTTCTGCGGTGTATTCTATACTTAGGAGTACTATGAATAAGCCATAGTGCCTTGTTAGCTTGTATTCATTGCATTTTAAATGTAAGTCAACATTGTAATATTCTTAGCTTATTAGGTCCTAGGTTAGGGTGTTACAATGCAAAACACTCTATATTGATGACTTGCTAAGTAATCGGTTACCTTCATCACAAATGTTGATAGTCGCGTCAAAAGGCAAGTAATTACTCAAGGAAAAGCTATTAAGGTCATGAAATGAAAAAGAATTTGGAATGCTTAAAATGAAAAGTTTTGATTAAAGAAAATTTTGGTTCATTTTCTTGCTTGTACCGGTGAAAAAGGGGTAAAGGTAGAGTTGTTGTATGCTTGAATTATGTTTAGTTATGAAGATCCATAAATCAATTTAGAGACATGCATTGATATGATAATAATATCTTGAACATGATCGAGTTGATCGTTGAATTAAGCATAAATGTTTGAAGAACAATCATAATGGTATGATATTTGTTTGAATGATTTTGTGAGTTAATCGTCCGAAAACTCTTAGAAGACACAATTTATCCACTAGGGTAATCTAAGGGTTTAAAGGTTTGTTATATGTGCTAAATGCAACTATGATTCCTAAACAAGTGAGTTATGTTTTCATTTATTTATTTGCTTGAGAATCAATAAAGTTTAAGTGTGGAGGTATTTGATGAGTGTATAATTAGCATGATTTTATGCTTTATTATATTGAATTTTCTAATATTTATTATATTATATTATTTTATATTTTTTCATATTTATTGTATTATATTATATTATTTAAGAATCAGATGATAATTTTAAATTTTGTAAGAAAAATAATCAATTGGAGTAAGGAAACCTAAAAAGGAAGCAAGAAGTAAGAAAAGTTCAAAGAGATTTACAAGAGCCATATGATTGTCAGAAATAATAAAGGAAAAAGCTACTGGCCACCTTTAGATCTTATCACAAAAAGACGTGAATGAATTGCGGCAAATAATAAAAGAGAAGAAAAAATATCTGCACAAGGATAGAGAAAAAGAAAAAGAAAAAGAAAAAGACAGATAAAGACAAAGATAAAGAGTTCGAAAGGGCACATGAAAAAGAACGTGCCACGAGTGAGAGAGAAGGAAAGGCATGATAGAGAAAAGGAGAATGAAAAGGATAGAGAGAGGTTAGAAAGGGGAAAAGAGCGAGACAAGCAGCTTGAGGATGACACTGATAGCAGAATGGTTACTGATATAGAAGATAAGCATGAAGAAAATGGAATTTCTGAAGGTAATTTAACTTTTGTGCTTTATTTATTTATTTTTTCTGTTCCTTTTTCATTTTCAGTTTCTTGAATTTAGTCTTAACATTTTATATGGGATTTTCAAGGCGCCTTGGCCTTCCCTCAGCCTCCGAGGTTAGTGCCTTGGGACAACACTGCCATGGTTAAATTATAACACCGTTCTTTTGCTTATTACTATTTTTTGTTCTGTTCCCCAAGGTGAGTACCTTGGCGCCTTGTGACAACATTGCCATGGTTAAATTATAACACCGTTCTTTAATTTATTTATGAAGATTCTTAGTTTTGACCTAAAATGTGAAAATCTTTGTTTCATAGGACCAGAGCCAATGGATATATCTACAGCATCAACATCTCAGACATGTGAAATTCCTAGTTCTGATGTGATGATTTTGGAAGGACATACTTCTGAGGTTGGAGCATATGCCAATCTTTCTGCTTTTTTACATTAATATCTTGTTTTTTGTTTTGGCCTTACTGCACTTTTCAGCTAGAAATGTCTGCTACCTCGTGCTTCTTTTCTTTCTTCCTTCAGGTTTGTGGCTGTGCATGGAGTCCAACGGGATCACTTCTTGCATCAGGGTCAGTAATTTTTGTTTGAGACACTTTTGATATTTCTGTGTTTGCAACTCTGATTTATATGCCAAAACTTATTGTAATTTGACTTTTAGTTTTCTATTATTGGTAAGAGTATTGCTTCATGGGATATGTCAAGATGTTGATTAATTTTATTAGCATTGAATAAATTTCTCAATTTTCATCAATAAGTAGGAAGGGAGTAACAAGTATGCCAGGCTTAATGGAGTATTGGTATTTGGTTATACAATCCTCAAATAGGTAAAATAATTCTGGTAATGAAATGAAGTAAATTCAAATAATCTTTTAGATTTGATACAATTTGTCACATTATTTTTAAATGAAAAATACAAATGCTGGACAATTTGATATTCGAAGACCAAAGCATTGAATTTTATTTTGATAAGATACACGTGCTGGACAATGTGCATCATATCCACTGTAGAGGTTTTTTGACATAGCATGGGAAGGGGAATGCACTAGAAACAGCAATTACAGCAGAATAATGGCTAAAATTGAGATAAAATTAAAGTTGGAACAAGATAATAGAATTTAGGGTTCATAAGAAACCTCTAGAATCTGAATAGACTGATAAATTATATTAGTTTAAACCCTATATCCTTGTAGAACGATGCCTAGTCTTAGTCCCCAAGGAAAACTACTTGGCCTATAAAGGAAATACTTTTAAAAGTCGCATGTTAATCACACGATCGAAGTACTTTTAAAAGTTGCATGTTAATCACATGACCCTAGATTAATTAAGTAACCCTAATATTAGGAATACAATAAAATAAATCCTAGAGAAATCTCCTGCGTCATTTTCTTTGCTCTCAATTCTGCTATGATTTGTGCTGCTTGATCTAGTGTCTTTAGGAATCTGCTATTTCTATTGGTATTTAATTTCATTATTACAAAGTATTTCAATATGGGTGGTTATGACTGTATATAGATTGCCCATTCCATTTCTCTACTTTGATAATACCAACACAGGGGTAGTGGCCATCAGTGGTAACTGTCTTTTCTGGATATTATGCAACATCTGTAATTTAAGTTCTCTTAAAGTTGTGGATAACTTGATTATCAAAAAAAGTTGTAGATAACTTGTAATATTGCATTGTATCTATAATAGCATAAGAAAATTGTTGGTTATCTTTTCCTTTTCTTACGCCTTACATGTCAGTCCCTTGACCATAATTTCCAGGTCTGGAGACTCCACAGCACGAATTTGGACAATAGCAGAGGGGACCTCTAGATCTGTTGTGCAGAATGATCCTTTAAATGTGCTGGTATTGAAGCATGTAAAGGGAAGGACAAATGAGAAAAGCAAAGATGTGACAACACTTGATTGGAATGTGAGCTCTCTTAGAGGCTTCAATTGTCAACAATAGTAATTTTTGCATCTCTTCACAATATGATACACAAGTCATAAATCCATAAAATCTGATATCTAAATTATCTTCAACAGCATAGATAGTTCCATACCACCACACATTGGAATCAAAGTGGTCAACCTAATTCTTGGCAACTCACGTTATTTAGTTCCTTGGAACATTTTATTTGACAAGAACCATGTGGTCTTATCTATTTTTTTTTCTTTTTCTTTTTTTCCCCTCATAAAGCCTTTATGCTTTGGGGGCAACAAGGAAAAAAGGGGAATACCTACCAAGAAGCATATTCTTATGACACTTAAATCTTTAATTCACAAGAACAGTTTAATAGGCAAAGGGGAAAAAATAAGCTTAACATGGCAATTCATTTACTTCTACTTCAAATAGGCTTCAACTGAAGCTGATAGGCAGGGTCTGATGGCAATGATTTCCTTTGTTCTTGCAGAATCAAGAAAATTAATTTTACATGTCAAATTAATCCCCCTTCCTGGTATGTATTCATCATTATTTTGCTTCCTTTTGTACAGGGTGAGGGAACATTACTTGCGACCGGCTCTTATGATGGACAGGCAAGAATTTGGAGTACTGATGGTACGATATTTTAGTATGATACATTTCATTTCCTTTTATTTCAGCGTGAAAGAGCAGCAAGTCAAATATGTAAAAATAAACAATAAAAATATAGGGAGCTGAGATACCATTCTTTTTTTTATTATTATTATTATTATTTTTTTTTTGTGTTTGTATGTGTGTGTGTGTGTGGTCTTTCCTCGCTTTTAAGTGCAGAGTATGTTCATGCAAGTGAGCCACTATTAATTTGTCACTTAGACGAACCAACACTGCAAACTGTTGTGAAAATATGTGCCTAAACACCAATATGCATATATTATTATTCTGTTGTTAATTGTCATTGTGGTTTTGCTTTAGTTATTCTGTGCAATTTAGAACTCTGGCTTACCTTCTTGATTTTTTCCCTGGTCCAGGGAACTAAAGACTACATTGAGTAGGCATAAAGGACCCATATTTACTCTGAAGTGGAACAAGGGGGATTATCTTCTAACTGGAAATTGTGATAAAACGGCAATTGTGTGGGATGTGATGGCTTTGGAATGGGAACAGCAGTTTGAGTTTCATTCAGGTTTTAAATTTCGCTCAAATCTCTAGAATCAGTGGTCTTTCTTCAGAAAAAAGAAACCACTAATTGTTGTGCCATTTGTTTTCATATTGGTATTTGTTTTAGGTCCTATGCTTGATGTGACTGGCGCAATAATGTTTCATTTGCAACAAGCTCCACTGACAATATGATATATGTATGCAAAGTTGGAGAAACATGCCCTATTAAAACTTTTGCTGGACATCAGGTTTGTTCTAGGATCCTACAATTACTTATTGCTATCACTATTCTGTTCAAACTTGCCTGAAGTAATTTAGGTTATGTTTTACATGACTTTTGGATTTTGATTTAAGTTAGTGTTTAACCTCTGACTCAAAGAAAAGTCATAAATATGTTTGGTGAAGAAAACTTTTTGACTTAAATCAAAAGTTTGTTACAAAATTGAATCAAAATTTTGCTTTAATCAATAGTTGATTTTTTTGAGCCTTGCAGTTGAATTAACATTTTTTGAGCAACAATCAAAGCTTTTGATGGTGCTTATACTTCTTACTTTTTGCAATATCAGCATGAGGTTAATTGTGTCAAGTGGGATCCTACAGGCTCTTTGTTGGCTTCTTGCTCTGATGATATCAGTGCTAAGGTTATTATCTGTGCTACCTTTTTTGTCGTCTATAGACTGATTTACATGTTAATTTTATATTTGTTCATTTACGACTCATGAATGCCCTATACTAGTCTCTGATCTTTTATTTTAAACAGAATCCATTGTTATTATTTGCTTATGTGCCCTTTTAAGTCCTATTTCATTACTTGTTAGCTTGCTACTTTCATAGTTAGCAACTGATGAAATTGTACTGCAGATATGGAGTATAAGGCAGGATAAGTATGTTCATGATTTGAGGGAGCATTCTAAGGTACTGTATAGCTTTTATTTTGACTGATAAAGATTTGTTGGGTGTTTATGCACTTGCTTGTTATAGCCCAGTGGATTGCAATCATGAATCTTCAATAATCTTGTTGCAGGAGATTTATACAATCAGATGGAGCCCAACTGGACCTGGTACAAATAATCCCAACCAGCAATTAGTGCTGGCGAGGTAAAATTGCTGCTTTAACTTAAATGTTATTTGTGCATCTCAGCATGCACAGACATGTGCATTGCAAATTAAGTAGCTCTGGAATTACCCTCCAGCACTGTCATTCTCTTCTATTGACTAATACTTCTTTTTTGTTAAGTTTAAAGAAATCCTGTTAACCTCATTCCCAGTTTTGCATAGGGTGATGAAACGTCAATTTCTTGTAGCACCTTGTATGATTCAGGTCAACTTTGATGTTGTTTTATGTTTGATTTCTGATATCATCTTTTTCTGCTTCCTGTATAGTGCATCATTTGACTCAACGGTGAAATTATGGGATGTGGAATTGGGGAAACTTGTCTGCAGTTTGAATGGACACAGGTATACACTTAGCTTTCTTTCTCTCTTTTCATATTAAAGGATCAGGAGAAAAAAGTTCTTCCGTTTCATTATCAACTTCTGGGCGGTTGAATGTGTAATGATTAAATGAACCAGTATTTTGAAGTTACCTGAATTCATTGCTCTGAATTTGACCTCATGTGATCTCAACCTTTCATTGTCTTCGGAGATTTTTCTGACTTCTGCCCCAATATTTTTTCTTGACCTCTTTTCTTCTTTACTAACCATCAAGTAATAAACTGATACCTTATTGAGTTTGGCCAATCAGTGATAGATGAATCTGCAATCCTCTCTTGCTTTAGTCTCTTAATAACTTCAGGGCTGTTCTAGTTAAAGAAGAATGCATGTTCTGTTATCCTGTCAGTGAACAGATAATTGATTTAATGATTAATCAAGTTGCTGCTTCCCTATTTGTAGCTATTATTGACAAAGGTTTTTCAATTGATTTTCCAGGGAGCCTGTGTATTCGGTTGCATTTAGTCCTAATGGAGAATATTTGGTAAGTGGATCTCTTGATAGATGCATCAACATCTGGTCATTGAAGGAAGGAAAGATTATGAAAACATATGCTGGCAATGGGGGAATATTTGAAGTTTGTTGGAACAAGGAAGGTGATAAAATTGCTGCCTGTTTTGCCAACAATACAGTTTGTGTTTTAGACTTCAGAATGTGATGACCCGTAAGGTGCTATAATCAGCTGGGATTTCTTGGAGCTTGTGGTAACATTGTGTTTAGTTGGGCTTCAGTTTCCCATGGAAGCAAGCTTTCCTTTTATGGGGATGTGAAAAGTTCTTTGATTTGGTAGCTTTTTCTTTTGGTGGCTATAGGTGTTACTAATTAGTAATTCTGATATTGCAGCAAGTTGTTAGTGAATTTCTACTCAATTGTTAGCTAGGCATCTGCTCTGTAGGACATGGTTCAGGAACAATTATGTACAGAGTCGTTTGCATTGGATCCTTTTTAGCTTTCTTTACATTACTGTTTCTTTCGAAGATGCATTAAGCATGCATTATTATTATTATTTTTTTTTTGAAAGTTTGCATGTCAACTGCTTCTATTGTGGTTTCATTCTATCAATAATAAAAGCAATTGGAACTTGCATCATAGGCATACTGAAGAATAAATCCAGAAAATGAAAGACTCCGAGAACCACATTTCAAAATGATGAGCTTTTGTAGGTTAACCAGCATTTGCTAATGTGGAGATCTTGGGAGGAGGTGTTGAAGTACATTAAGGCAGCAAGTTGATGGCCTGGGAAACGGACAATTTACCAATAATCTCCACAAGAACATAAGCCATTTACGAAGTGGTGGAAACGGTTTCGATCCCTCATTACAATCTTACGGCCGGTGATCTTTGAAATCAACTTTGTCACAGCATGACAATCAGCGCACACCCGTAGATTCTTTACAATCTTTATTGAAGAGCCTGGCTTAGTGCTTATAAGTCCAAAAGCAATGGCAATTTTCTCACTGTGAACTCCAAGTGACTGCTCCTTTTGCGCATCCTCCAAGTCATGCAATACAATATCTGTCTGTGGGGTATAACCATGAGTTTTAAGCCAACCATTTATCTCCTCCAGCATTTCGTAGATCTCTTTGCTCTTCGGATGTCTCAAATCTCCAGCCAAAAATTCATGTACCTTGTCATGCACTTCAACTAAGCTGCAACCAGGCTCCTTCTCAACCCCACTCTCTTTCATCAAGGTCCTCACCCTCGCCACCCCTTCCCAATTGCCATCCGCCGCATAAATGTTTGAAAGAAGAACATACGTCCCTGAATTTGCAAGATTCTGGCTAACAAGAAACTCCACAATTTTCTCTCCTAGGGCAATGTTGCCATGGAGCCTGCAAGCTCCAAGCAGAGTTCCCCACAATACAGGATCTTGCTCAATCTCCATGTTCTTAACAAGCTCATAAGCTTTTTCTAAATGCCCAGCACGCCCAAGAAGATTTACCATACACCCATAATGCTCAACCTTGGGTTCAATCCCATATTCATCTTTCATTGAATAGAACAATTTCCATCCTTCACTGACCAAACCAGCATGACCACAAGCATTCAATACACCAACAAATGTTATATCTGTAGGTTGGTATCCGATCCTACACATCTCTTTAAACAACTGCAACGCATCTTGGCTAAATCCGTGCATTGCATACCCAACAATCATCGAATTCCAAGCAACGACATCCTTGTTACTTATCCTCTCAAAAACCAACCGTGCATCCTCCAAACTCCCACATTTACTGTACATATCAATAAAAGCCGTCCCTACTCGAACATTAATCTGAATCCCAATATTCTCAATATACGAATGGACCCACCTTCCCGACTCCAAAGCCCCAAGTTGCCCACAAGCAGAAAGAACAGCCAACACAGTAATTTCGTTAGGTCTCACTTTAGCCTTCAACATTTGTCTAAACAACACCAATCCTTCATTAGGTAACCCATGTTGCGCGTACCCATCAATCATCACATTCCAACAAACAGCATCCCTCTCTTCCAATCCATCAAACAAAACTCTTGCCTCGTCAATCATACCATACTTAGCATAACAAGTAATCATCGTTGTCAATGAAACTAAACTCTTCACAGGCGTTGCATCAAACAGCTTACGCGCCGAAGCAACATCACCTCCTCTTGCATAAACATCTACAAGACAAGTCCTCACATACAATTCTGCATCAAACCCAAATTTTATCGCATGCCCGTGTAGCAATTTAGCAGGTTCAATTGGGCAAGAGTTCAAAATCGATGAGAAAGTAAATGCATTAGGGATTACATTGTGACTCAACATCTGGACATAGAAAAGAAGTGCTTGGTGATGTAGATTGTGCATAGAGTGGGCATGTATAATAGAAGTGTAAAAGAAGACATTGGGGTTTTGGGTTTTGTTAAAAAGTCCAAGGGAGTGGTTTAAGTGACCCAGAGAGGAGTAAGAACGTTGAAGCTTGAAGTTGAGGATTGGGTGGTCTTGGAGATTGTGGCGGTAGAGAAAGGCGTGGATTTGCTTGATATGGTTTAAGGATTTGGATTTGTCAATTAAAATTGCTAGTTTTTCTGGTGGGGGTTTATGCAGAGTGGTGGAGGAGCGGGTTGTGGTGGCGTGTAGTGGTGGTGGAGTGGTGAAGTTGGTGGTAGAGGACATGGAAATGGAATAGTCCGTTTTGTTGTAACCACTGGCTTATTCAGTTTGTTCGCAAAATTATTAATCACCCGCAGGATGCATGAATCCTGAACTGAGTTGTTCTTTTTGAGATGAATATACATAAATATCCGTTCGTTCAAGTTGAACTGAACCACACACTACATGTCTGTCACTGTGTATGTTCAAATAACATTTTCTGTGATGCCTTTAAAACACTCTTGTGAGTTGATCTAGTGGTGAACCAAATTTATTTATTTTAATTTATTGATTTCAAATTTTAGAATCAATATTCATAAAACCTTATTAAATTCTTTTAATGCATTAATTTTTTATCTTTTGTTTTTTATTTTATCTAGATATCTCTATCTCGTAATAGAGATATGCCTAATCCTTTTTAATTAGAGAATAACAATATTTAACTTTTTTAAAAAATATGATTTCAATATTCGAATATAGTTTATTATTAAATCAATAATTTTTAATTATAATATCAAAATAAGATCTTAAAATTGTCCAAAAACATTTCAAACTGATACAAAAATATTTTTAGCATAAAAAAAAACATAATCCTTTATTGTGATATTAAAAATAATTAAATAATCTATTAATGATATTGACCATCAATTTTAATTAATTGTGTAGTATGAGAACTAATTTCTTTATTTTATTAATCATATTTTTCATATTACCTATTTTTTCTTTTTTCTTTCTATTTTAAGAAAATAAAAAAACAAAATAAATTTGAAATAAAAAACATGAAAATTGACAAAAGATTTGATTATGAAAGAGCTCTTACTCTCCCTATAACTTATGTCACCATTTCGTATCTTGATAAAGGTTTTCTTTTCATTCATTGATTGATTTGATCTAAAAATATAATTAATTATTTTTTTCTATGTTACAAGAACTAAGTGGACTATGTTATTACTAACTTCTGTGAGATTTGAGAATTCCAATCACATTATATTGATATAGAATGTTGCTTTATCTGAAACAATTTGTTTTTTTTTTTAAGAACATTTTATTTTAATGGAAAGATTGAGACATCCAACGGAAATTATTTTCAGCTATAACTAAACTAAATAAGTAGTTAATTAAATTATAACTATGATTAAAATTGATTCCATGCTAACATATTTAATATAAATAATAATGCCTTTCAACAAAATCAAAGTAAATTGTTTAAGATATAGTTGTTGTAACCTAATTTCAGTCTCCTATTTTTACAACAACAACAATAACAATAACAATAATAATAATAATTAAAAATTAAAAAAATTAATTACATATTTTTCTTATTTATACATTTTTTAATTTGAACTTTTCATGAATTTTCATGATTTTTATTATTTTTGTAAGTTTCGAATGAGAATGACTAAGCATAAAATGAGCGAGAAAGAAAAGAAGCTAAATAGCTCAATATGTCATTATATAATACTCTAAGTATTTTACATGTTCTTAAGTTTTTAATTATATCCCACCTATCCATGAAATTTTTTAAAATGCTTAATCTGTCTTTTTGATCAAATTTTCTAACTATAGATTTTTATTTTTATTTTTATTTTATCGAAATACCCTCTACTAAAAAAAACGCTTAAAATCACATGAGCTACATGTTTTATTTTTGAAGTCTTTAATTTAATTTTTTTTTTCATTTCACTTGAGCATTTCGGTTAAAAAAAATTATTATCAAAAAAATTTTAAGTGTTTTTTTTTTAATTGCTTAAAATTTATTATTATAGAATGGAGTTAGGCGAGATGAGAATGAGATTTTATTTTTTGACTTATCCGGGACAAGTGTCGATCCCCAATCCCGGAGTAACTTCAATTGTGTGATTGTTTTGAGTATTTGAGTTGAAATTGTTTGTGAATATAATTCTCAACATGATTAGTTAATCTTGAATGGAATGATTTTTATGAAAATTTGATTTGAGTCGTCTTTAACTAGTTTTTGTCAATGATTTTGATGTTTTTTGACTTATGTCTTTGTCGACTAGTTTTGGTCAATAATTTTGATGATTTTTTACTTGTATCCTTGCTCACTAGTTTTTGTCCATGATTTTGATGATCTTGACTCGTGTATTTAGCAATGAATTTGATGATTTTTGACTTGTGTCTTCGCCGATCGGTTTTCGTTGATGATTTTGATGATGTTCAACTCATGTCTTTGACGATTTTTGTCAATAATTTTGATGATTTTTTGACTCGTGTCTTCTTCAATCATTTTCTTAGATAATTTTAATGACTTTTTACTCCCATCTTTTTCAACAATTTTGAAATTTCTTGATTTTCATATTCGTCGACCAAATTTTGTCAATAATTTTCTACAAAATATGACTTCATCGTCTTCGACCTACTTTTCATCAATGACTTTGTGAAAACTCGAGTTGCATCGTCTTTGACCTGTTTTCATTGGCAACTTTGTGAGAACTAGAGTTATGTCATCTTTGACCGGTTTTCATCAATGATGTTATGAAAATTCGAGTTACATTATCGTCGACCTATTTTTGTCGATGATTTTGTGAAAATTAGGTTTGTATCATCTTTAAACAGCTTTTATTGGTGATTTTTTAAGGTGTCGACTTATGTCTTTGTCAATCACTTTTCATCGACGATTTTGTGATATCTTGACTTGTATCATCGGCTTGATTTTTTGTTAATGAATTTTGTAAAAATAATTTTTGTTGCCATTTTTAGCTTAATTCTCATTCTTTGTTTAACGATTTCTTAAAAATGATTAGTGAGGTCATTATAGTTTGATTTTTGTTCATTATTGAATAATTTATTGAGAATATTGGCTTGCCTTATTTATTATCAAATGAATTGGGAAAAACGTATATATATATATATATATATATTTGTTGCCGTTATTGGCTTTACCCAAGTTTTTCTTGTGAAATCATAGTTGTTGGTTCTATATCATTTTAGAACTATGGGTACTGGTTTCATGTTGTTTTAAAATTGTTTTCCTTTCAAAATAGTAACTATTGGTTCCGCCTCATTTTAAAAACAAGTCTTTTGAGATCATGTTGTTTTTAAATTCATTTTCCTTTTCTATGAATCTATGGACGTTGGTTCCATGGTTTCTCAAATTCGTAGCCGTTTGTTATATGGTTTTCTAAATTTATTGTTGATGGTTCCATGTCTTTTCATATATATGGCTATTGGTTCCACATTTTTTAAAACTTGTAGTCGTTGGTTCTACGTCTTTCTAAATTAGTGACTATTGGTTCCTCGTCTTTCCAAATATATTGCTATTGGTTTCACATTCTTTTCTTCATTCATGGTCGTTGATTTCACATCTTTTTCTTAATTTGAAGCTATTGATTCTATGTCTTTCCAAATTTATGACTATTGGTTCCACGTCTTTCCAAATCTATGATTGTTAGTTCCATGACATTTTCCTAATCTATGGTCGTTGGTTCCATATCTTTTCAAATTTGTGATCTGTTGGTTCCACATCTTTTCTAATTTGTGACTATTTGTAACACATCTTTTCAAATTTGTGGAAGTTGGTTCCACATCTTTTCAAATTTGTGGCTATTGCTTGCACATCTTTTCAAATTCATGACTATTGATCTTTCAAAATTTGTGATTTTGGTTCCATGAATTTTTCCTAACTTCGGCTATTGGTTCCATGCCTTTTCAAATTCGTAGCTATTGGTTGCATGTATTTCTAAATTTGTGAATGTTATTTTTATGTCTTTTCAAATTCATGGCTATTGGTTCCATGTCTTTCCAAATATGTAGTTGTTGGGTTAGCATCCTTCTTCTACTCTATGGTCGTTAGTTCTACATCTTTTCAAATCTATGGTTATTGGTTTCATGTATTTTCAAATATGTAACTATTAGTTCCACCTAATTTTTTTCCCCTAAATCTACAACTATTGGTTCTACGTCCTTCTAAATTCATGATTGTTGATTCAATGTCTTCTCGAATCCATATCTATTGATCCCTAAATACATAACTATTGGTTCCATGTCTTTTTAATTCTATGGCTATTGGTTTCACATGTTTCTAAATCTACGGTTGTCGGTTTCATATCTTTTTTTTAAATCTATGATTGCTTGTTTCATTGTCATTTTTAAATATGTGTTTATTGATTCCATGTATTTTTGAATCCTTAGTTTTTAGTTCCATATCCTTTAAAAATTGATAGTCGTTGGCTCCACATCTTTTTAAAAATATGACTCTTAGTTTCATGTTTTTTATTGTATGAATTTTTGTTTCATGATTCGATAGGCTAGTTTCTATAACATTCCCAACCTAGGACTTAAAGTAGGTTTAGAATGCTATCGACAATGCCTCACATTCGAAGTGTAATGAATACGAGATACTAAGCCTCTTGTCTTCTACCTCGAATATAAAATAACATACATAGTGGGAATTCATTTATTTTAAAACTTAGGGTCCATCCATAATATAAAAAATAAGTACATTAACTTTCAAAAATAACTCATTTAATAGAAATAATGATTATAACTTAAAAATTATTTTATGTTCTTATAACCAATAGTTAATAAAAATCATTTCATTAAAAATATTTAAATACATTTACATAAAATATTCATAATAGAACACCAACAAGTATCTTAACATAAAAAATTTCAACTAAATTTTCATTAAATGAATTTATAAAAAAATTCAGATATTTATAATAAAAAATAATCAATTTAATTTTCATTAATTAGTAAACCACTTAAACATAAACACCATTAAATGATAAACTATTTCATTAAATTATAAATTTCCCAAAACATTAAATTATTTTATAACTTTCAATATGATGGAATATTATAAGTTTATTTTTAATTAAGAACCTAGATTAAAATCTTTTCTTAAGCTCATTGGAAGCTAATTTTTATGTTTAAGCTCTTTGAAAGCTAATTTAGATTTCTTAATCATTTAATCATTAATTACCAATTAGAATCATTTCAATTTCTTATTGCAACCATTTAATTTAACCTTTATGTGAATTAAACCATTTTACTAACTTAAA